TTGGGTGAAACTGTAACATACTTCAGAAATATAAGTCGTTGTAGTATAGTGGTGAGTATTCCCGCCTGTCACGCGGGTGACCCGGGTTCGATCCCCGGCAACGGCGTTTATTAGTTTTAATATTAGAGGATTTTTTTTTCATTGATTTTATTTTATTTTATTTTTAATTTTTAAGCTATTTTATGTGACCATAGTGCTGCTTAAATGATTTGTTGTTGAATTATAGAAATTTTTTCATTGATTTTTTTTTTAATTTTTGAGCTATTTTTTATGTGACCATAGTGTTGCTTAAATGGCTTGCTATTGAATTAGAGAAATTTTTCATTAATTTTTTTTTTTAATTTTTGAGTTATTTTTATATGTTCATAGTGCTACTTAAATAACTTACTGTTAAATTAAAGAATTTTTTCATTAATTTTTTTAAAAATTTTGAGTTATTTTTATGTGTTCATACTGCTACTTAAATAGCTTACTGTTAAATTAAAGAAATTTTTTCATTGATTTTTTTTTGAATTTTTAAGCTTATTTTATGTGACAATAGTGCTGCTTAAATGCCTTGTTGTTGATTTAGAGAAATTTTTTCATTTATTTTTTTTAAAATTTTAAGCTTATTTTATGTGAATATAGTGCTGCTTAAATAGCTCGATGTTGAATTAGAAAAAAAAAATTAATTGATTTTTTTTATTTTTAAGCTTATTTTATATGACAATAGTGCTGCTTAAATGCCTTTTTGTTGAATTAGCGAAATTTTTTTCATTAAATTTTTTTTTAAATTTTTAAGCTTATTTTATGTGACCATAGTGCTGCTTAAATAGCTTGCTGTTGAATTAGAGAAATTTTTTTCATTTATTTTTTTTTATTTTTTAAGTTATTTTTATGTGACCATAGTGTTGCTTAAATAGCTTGCTGTTGAATTAGAGAAAATTTTTCATTTATTTTTTTTATTATTTTTAAAGTTATTTTTATGTGACCATAGTGTTGCTTAAATAGCTTGCTGTTGAATTAGAGAAAATTTGTCACTGATTTTTTTAATTTTTAATCTTATTGTCACTGATTTTTTTAATTTTTAAGCTTATTTTTACGTTAACCAGAGTGCTGTTTAAATGGCTTGCTGTTGAATTATTAAAATTAGACTTCTTTTTTATTTATTTGTTA